GCAGAGCTGAGAAGCAACAGTTAAAGGCAGGAGGAAATTCGCAGGAGCCGGACCCACAGAGGGTTGAGAGAACATTTGAGAGAGTCCGCAACATGGTGCCAGAAACTGCAGAGGTCAGATAAGACCAGGTCTGGAAAGGATCCACCCGACCACGCCTCAGAAATCATTGGTCACCAGTAATAGCGGTTTCTGCGGGTGCTTGAGGCAGAGGCCAGACTGAAAAGGGGATGGGGAGGGGGAGGAAGTAAAGATAGTAAATGTGACCCTTGAAGAGCCCGGCTCTGTAGGGAAGGTGATAGAGTGGTAATTAGATGGGTATAAAGGAATGTGAGGGAAGCTGAGTCCAGGGAATGCCAGCATGACGCAGGTCTCTGAGGCACAGGGAAGGGCTGGTCAGGGAAGACTTCCATCCCTTCTCTGAGATGGAAAGAAAGTATGGCATTCATGCTTGACTTTCTCTTTGAAAGACGATCTCATTCTTCGATAGAGATGTTGAGCTTATGCAGGCTTCGAGGAATGGGAGGAGAGCTGCCTCACTTGCATCATATATATTGGTAGTTTTCTTGTTCATTTTTCATCTTTCTTGGTGATAGCACGGAGTGCTTTGCACATACTGTTTAATTAATGTCCAACTGAGCTGAGCACACAGCGCTGTCCCATGTACAGGGAAGCGGGTTCCTACCTCGGGCAGGTTGATGAGATTTCTACTAGGTTGCAGTTGTGCTCACTGGAGTCCAGTCATTGATTCAACCAATATTTCATTTTTGAACATCATGTGTTAGGTGGCTGGCTAGGTACTAGGGACACAATGATGAACAATATGGCATTTTACATGTAATGAAGAGAATAGTTATATGCATTCATGCTTATGGTTTTTTATTTAGAGGATTGACTGTCCAATGGAGAGAGAGAGAGAGAGAGAGAGAGAGAGAGAGAGAGAGAGAAACATCAATTGAATGCCTCCTTCACGAACCCTGACAGGGGACGAAACCCAAAGCCTGGATATGTCTGTCCCCTGATTGGGATTGAACCTGCCAGCTTGTTGATGTACAGGACAACACTCCAGCCAACTGAGCCACACTGGCCAGGACTCCAATGGGCTTTTTCTTTGACAACCCTTCAGTCATAGTGATCCTTCTCTATTGAAATCCGTTTCCCACCTGCTTAGACGCTGCACTCTCCTCGTTCTCCCGTATCTCATTGCCTCTTCCCTTCCCCAGTCATAATATTGTGCACTCATGAACCACTTTTTCCCTTTGGCCACTCTCGCTTTTGCAGGCTTCAACCACAGCTGCATGGAGATGACCCCCAGATCTCAATTACTAGTCCTGAGCTCTCCAAAAAGTCGCACACTTCCAATTTTCTACCTGTTAGTTGCATTAGGATGTCTAACCTTTTCCTCAAACTCAGGATGTCTAAACCTAAGCTCACCATCTTTCCCATATGTTCCCCCACCCTTTGCCCCTGTCCTGTCCACCCCTTTCCCTCGATTCCTGGCCCTTTTCTGTCAGTTCTAAGATTGAAGACTTAGGAGGATCAAAAGCCTGGGGCGTTTTGCCCGATATTGTTCTCTTTACAGAAGTTGTAGGATGAAGGGGCGGATGTCACTGAAGCTACCACAGCAGCAAGGACCTGTATCCAGGTAACCAGGTCCTCGGGCGGTTTTTCTTTTGCAGATGCTGCAATACAAGAACCCAACTCACCTTGACCAGCAACAGGAACCCTGGAATCGGCTCAACTCAATTCCCACGATCACCTCCTTTAGGCGGAATTCTTATTTTTTTGAATCTGAGGTACCTGCTATTGAAATACTATTTCTCTTTATGTCCAATTAGAATTCATCAGTATCCTCTTTGGAAGGAAGCCTGCCCCTGACTTCTTTAGTATCTTTCCTTTTGTCCTCAATCCAAGATCCTACCAAATCGAAAACTAAATACCAATTTATCTGGTCTCTGGGAAGTTAGAGGCCTCGGTTCTGCTCTAGTCAGACATCTGAAGCAAATCATTTTCTCACCGGACTTCTCACTCTTCTGATTAAAACAAAGATTGACTATAACCACGAATGAAGTAAGACCCATTGAGCCCAAATCGGGGACAGTATAGTGATTCCCATATCTACAGGGAGAGCTCACTACTCCTTAGACCTAACCATGAGAGACAAGAGTCACCATGTACTAGTTGGTGTGTAAGGAATTGGTGGATCCAGGCCCAAAAGGCGTTCTCTCTCCTTTTGGGGAAGAGTAGAGCCCAAAAGAACTTGACTAGAGCTGGGGGTAGAGGTGGTGCATTAACTCTGGGGGGGTTAACTTCCTCTGTAGATTCCAAAGGACAATCTGGATTTCCGCTTAGCTGTCTTGTACAACCACCACACGGGGTCGTTCAAGAACAAATGTGAGACCCTGATCCACCAGGAGACCTCCAAGGACAGCTGTGGGTAAGTGGTGGAGGCAGAGCCTCCCCATCCTAAGGGTAATACCATCAATTCAATAAAGTAGAGGCCACCTGGGAAATAACTATCAATAGGTGCTCATTGGTATACAGATTTCTGTATTGTTTATATCTGTACCTGTAACTTCTGTATCTTTCCCTTTTATTCTTTTTCCATCACCATTTATCCCCCATATGCCCTCTTCTTCCTTCCCCCTCACTCCCACAGTCACCGCACTGTTGTTCATGTCCAGAAGTTTTCTTTTTTCTTAATCCCCTTTATTTTCTCAAACCACTACCACCACCACCACTCCCACCAGAGCTATCTGCCTGCTCTCTGAGTCTGAGTCTGTCTTTATTTTGCTTGTTAGTGCAGTTTGTTTATTAGGTTCCACATATGCGTGAATTCCTCTGGTACTTACCTTTTTCTGACTGTCTTATTTCACTTAGCATAATGTCCTCCAGCTCCATCCATGCAGTCCAAAAAAGATAAAATGTTCTTCCTTTTTATGGCTGAGTAGTATTCCATTGTGTGAATGTACCATAGCTGTTTTATCCATTCGTCTACTGATGGACAGGAGCTGTTTCCGAACCTTGGCTATTGTAAATAATGCTGCAGTGAATGTAGGGGTGCATTCTTTCGAGTTAGTGTTTTGGGTTTCTTCGGACAAATTCCCAGAAGTGGAACTGCTGGGTCATAAGACAGTTCTATTTTTACCTTTTTGAGGTAACTTCCATACTGTTTTCCACAGTGGCTGTATCAGCCTACATTCCTACCAAGAGTGTACAAGGGCTCCCTTTTCTCCACATCCTCGCCAACACTTGTTTTTTCTGTATTTTTATTATCTGAAATGAACAGAGAACTTCCTGTTTTTATCTGTATAAACAAACAAAATCTTCAGTTAATTCCACCGAGTGTAAAAAGGGCCTTTGGCTGCTTTATTTTGGAGGTGGCATGTAATTCTTTCCCTCCTTACCTTTCTCCTGCGTGGCTTCATTCTCCCCTATTCTTCTCCGTACCCATCCTCCAGGATCATCAACATCCAGGCCCCTAGAGAACACGTACCCGCTGCCCCACCGCTGCCCACCACCTCCCGAGCTCAGATCAGACAATGGATCAGCCCTAAGAGGGAGTCCATCCACAGTATCCATGGGTCCATAGGTGAGTAATAGGGCAGATGGTGGTACAAGTTCTAAATGGACCCAGGAATCAGGGACTTGGGGTGATTGGCTATGAGGGAACATGGGGGATAACTGAGGGTCTTGCAACAGCAGTGATTAAGTTGTCACATATCAGACAGATCAGGGGACATGCATGCTATGGAATGAATTCCACTTTTCCGAGTCTCTAACTCACCCTTAGATCTAGGGGACAGAAATTTCCAGCAGAAACCTGGGAGTGGAAGACCTATAGCTACCTCCTATCTGTCTTCTATATGCCAGTTCCCCAGCTGTTCTAAGAACCTTCTCTCTGGCACCCATAAATGGATGGGTGGTTACAGGTTCCCAGTGAAGACAAAGGATCCGACATTCACAGCCCACTCCCTCTTTTCTCCAGTGTCCCCTCACACTGCGGCCACCAACAGGGGCTACTCCCGAAAGACGGACGGTGGCTTCTTCTCCACCTGATGCCGACAGGCCCCTGGATGGATTAGTCGATGGGACAGCCTGCTGCCCACCTTCATTAAAAACATTTGTGCATGGTGAAGCCTGAAGTGTCTGTTACCCATAGAGTTGCCACTAGACTGCTCTTAAAAGGTGGAAGTTTCCCAACTTCTAAAAACTAGTCTTGTTGAGAATATTTGCAAGGACTTAGAACAGCCCAGTTTGGGGCAGGAGGCGGGTATTCCTTTCTTGTAAATGAGTCATTCCAACCATACAGAGACACCCATTCAATATTTCTTGCAAACCTTTGTGTCGGAGCTGTGTTTGGGAAAAAAGAATGGATAGAGCCCATTGTCTTAATGAGTTTACAACCAGTCATTTTAGTAGCTCTATGCAGCATTCTTATGCTGATGTCACACTTAACAGATTTCGACCTGGATTTGGTCATCCACTGGGCTCTACTTTTCCATGGGGGGCAGGGACCTCCATCTCCCTGGTCCTGCCTCCTTGCCATTGTTTTCTCTAACTGCTGCCATAGTCTTGCTGGGAATCAGTTCCCTTGCCTTTGTATGTTTGTGCTGGTCTCTGCCCCTAATTCTTATAAACATGGCTCAAAAATCTGGTGCTTGGATTTGAAGCTACCTAAAAACGATGCACTTACGTGGTCTCGAAAGTTAGAAGTCACAGGAACCCGCTATTAGATTGGGCAAGGAACGGCAGACCTAGCCCATGGTGCAGAAGTTTGGCATTGTTGAATAACAGATAGGAAAAGGCTGATACTCAAGTGCCTGGTCCTTAAAATACCACCAATCACAGCCCCTCTGCCACTATTTTTAAAAATAGTTTTATTGCTTTCAGAGAAATGGAGGGATAGAAACACCAATGATGAATCATCCATGGGCTAACTCCTGCACGCCCCCTACTGGGATTGAGCAACTGGGGCGTGTGCTCTGACCAAGAATCCAAGCTGACCTCCGGCTTCTTGGGTCCATGCCCAACCACTGAGCCACACAGGCTGGGCGCCTCTTCCACTATTGAGATCGTGTGGTGCCAAGTGGCCAGTTATTTAGAATGGCTGAAAATGGCCGAAAGGGTGACTGCTTAGTCACCTCATGCAGGTTGATACTGATCAATGAAAAATTGATTACTGTGATCCCCAGTTTGGCTCAGTGGATGGTGTCAGCCCTTGGATGGAAGGGTCCCGCGTTCAATCGTGATCAAGAGCACATACCTCAGTTGCAGGCATAGTGTGTGCAGGAGACAACCAATCAATGTGTACCCATTGATATTTTTCTCTGTCTCCCTCCCTTCCATCTCTAAAAATCGGGGAAAATATCCTCCAGTGACGATTTAAAAAATAAAAAATAGAGATTTCTAGCCCTGGCCGGGTGGCTCAGCTAATCAGAACATAGTCCCCTAGCCAAAAGGTCACAGGTTCCATTCCAAGTCAGGGCACATACTTAGGTTTCAGGTTCCACCCTGGGTTGGGGCACGTACAGGAGGCAACTCATCCATGTTTTTCCCTTTCTCCAAAACATTAAAACAGTATCCTCAGGTGAGGATATATTCTGCTTAAGTAAACCTCGGGCGGGTCCCTGGAATCCGTAGCTGTAAGTTCTCCAAGTTCTTGGGGAGCTATATGTGCATATAAATATAAATATATGCACATATAAACCTGCACCCCTCGGCAACAGGCTCGGTGGGGTGCAGTCATCGTGACGAAGCGGGCCTCGGGGAGGCAGCTCAGACATCCTCGCCCTCCCGTCAGCGCCCGGGCCCGCCGCCACC